ATGATGATGGACAACATAGTATTGGTGAAGATGATGATGAAGAATATGAAGAACGTATTGTTCATATTGAACCAAAATTTATTGAAAACTTTGTTAAACCAATTGATGCACGTGATATACCAACATGGCCAATGATGACAGATGACAATCAAAAAACAATGACTGAAAAAAAGAAAGATTAACGCCTGTTTTTTTTTTTGTTTTTATATTTATTTGTTTGCTTTAATTCTCTAGTCAATGTTTGTTTTGTAACACATTTACATCTCATTAATTGTTTATATATACCTTTATTTAATATATCTATATACTTATGTGTATGTCTGTATGTATTTTTGTTTTTAAAGATGAAAAGGTGGAGATTTTTACTCGGATTCGGAAGTGAAACAGGTCAATCAAGATCAATTGCTCAAGGCATGGTTGATATTGCTTCAGAGCAACATCAAATATGTGCAGACGTGTTTGAATTGGATGAAGTTGATAAACAAGTGAGAGAGTAGATTTAGGGAGAAAACCTATAGGAATATATCAATAGTTGAAGTTGTTTTTTATGAAAAAATAATATTTGACGTCTTCAATTTTCTACAAGATTCACTCTAACATATGGAAATTTTATACATTTTCATTTTTTTTGTATTATATCGCAGTTCAAATTAGAAGAAGAACCAGTCATGGTTATTGTAACATCATCAACAGGTGATGGTGAACCACCAAGTAATGCAAGTAAATTTTGGCGTAAAATTCGTCGTGAAAAAAACCCAAAATTTCTTTCACATATGAAATATACTGTCTTAGGTATTAGGAATTGAAGATTGAACTCCCTTTGTTTTTTAAAGAAAATTTCTATTCAGGATTGGGTGATACAAATTATTCTACGTTTTGTAATTGTGGTCGTGTACTTGATCGTCGTTTTGAAGAACTTGGTGCTACTAGATTCTATCCTTCAGCATGGGCTGATGATGCTGTTGGGTATAGTTAGTTTTATTTTATTTTTTTCATTTTTCTATTTGAATAATTCTAGTCTGGATTTAACAGTTGAACCTTGGCTTCAAGGTTTTTGGCCTGCTTTAAAAGAAACTCTAATGAAATTGAATACTTCTACTGAAACATCAATAAATAATCTATCCGAATCCATAAATCAACTGAATATAACTCAAGAAATAAAACCAATAGTAAATCGACAATTATCATCATCTAATAAATTTAAATCAAACGATGATAGTATTACTTATTCATCAAATTTAGCTGAAATGACTACATTAACATTACCACCTAAATCTACACATTCATTATCAATAAAACTTATCGAATCATCTGAAGTAATTCTTAGTTTTCATAATAAATATCTAGAATGAGTATAAAAATTGATCACTTAGATTAAGGTTCAATTTTTTTCCATTGCTCTAACTGCTAATAAAAATTAAAATAATTATTTACGTAGAGAATTTTATTTTCGACAGTGAAAATTATGCTAGCTTTTCAACAATAGTCTCCGAACAATCAAAAATCAAATTTTCAGCTCTTAAAATTTGCACGCAAAACTCTGTTTGAATTACATAGAATGATAAAGCAAATAGTTCTCTGCAAATGAAATACCTTACAGCTCTTTATGCCATTTTTAGACTAAGATACTTCCATCTGACAGTAGGTTCAAAAAGGATGTTTCCATATGAAATAACAGAAAAACCGACTTTATGCCTTCGGTAAGATTAATGTATCTCAGTCCAAGAATGTCTTGAAAATCTTAAGAACTGAAAAACTTAGTTTTTGATTTTTTCAGAGAGTCTATTCTGGGTAAATTAGCCATCATTTTCATCTTCGAAATTAAAATTCTCTACACCAATTAATATTTGAATTCTTATCAGCAGTTATCACAGTAGAAAAAATACTGACAATAAACCCGAGTGTATAATTTTGGGCGTTATTGTACATAAATCTTGATTTATTCTGTTTAAAGAATAAAGATCAATTACCATCTAATTCACATTATCATGTTTCAACATTAATACGTCGAGAAGGTTTAACACATGATACAGCAATAAAACCTGTTATGTCTGTTGAATTACAACTTTCGGTATATTTCAAGTCTAAATAATTATTTTATAGAAATTTTTATTTTCTTTTTTTTAGGAAGAAGACTTTGTATTTGAAGCAGGAGATGCAATTAAAATTGTTTGTGCCAATGATGAGAATGAAGTTAATCTCCTTTTACAACGGTAATTCTGTATTTTACTTTTATTTTTTCATATAAATTAAAAAATTTATTTTTTAGTTTAGAATGGATGGATAAAGCATCACATCAATTAGATATTTCGATTTCATCAGATAATACAAAAAAATCAGCTAAAATACCAGCATATATACCACCAATGTGTTCATTACGTTATGTATTAACAAATTGTATTGATATTCGATCATCACCAAGAAAAGTAAGAAAAAAAAAATTATCTCTACAAACTAGATGATTACATTAATTTTGTTCAATAGAATTTATTAAGATTATTTGTTGATTGTACAACTGATGAAGATGAAAAACGTCGTCTTGAAGAATTATGTAGTAAAGAAGGTTCAGACATTTATATAAAATATATTGTTGAAGAACATTTATCAATTCTTGATATTCTTAATCATTTTCCAAGTTGTAAACCAGATGTTGCTATGTTAATTGGTTTGAATAATAATTTAATGAATTATTTTATATAATTATTTTTTTTTAGAATTTTTACCACAATTAATACCTCGATTTTATTCAATATGCAGGTTTGAATTTTATTTTATTTTTCTGATAGCTTTTATTAATGATTTATTCAATTCAGTTCACCATTAGATGATGCCCGGTCTATCAAATTCGTTTATAGTGTATTGAAATTTGAAGCTTCAAATGGTCGTACATATGAACGATTTGGTATTTGTACGAATTGGTTAAATAAAATAACAATTGGAACGCAGGTTAATTATTTATTTTTAGTTGTTTTTTTATAATAAGATGTTTTGTGTTTGAATATAGGTTTTAATACAAACAAGAATTAGTCAACATTTTCGATTACCATTAACTCTTGATACTCCATTAATTATGATTGGACCAGGAACAGGTGTAGCACCATTTATTGGATTTCTTGAACATTTGTATGTTTTTGTTTTTTGCTTTATTCTTTTTTATATTCAAAAGGTTTTATTTGAATGAATATGAATTCTTGATTTTTAGATATCTTTCTTCGAAATCAATTGATGGTTTTGATGTGAATAATATAAATACTTGGCTTTTCTATGGATGTCGTCATCGACAACGGGATTTTCTTTTCGAGTATTGTCTTTTCTTTGTTGTTTTTTTCATCTTCTGTCTATCTATCATATGGTTTGTTTTTAGAGAGCAAATTCAAATGTATCAACAAATTAATGTACTTAAACATTTCTTTGTTGCAGCATCAAGAGAAGAAGGTTATCCTGTAAGTATAAAAAAAATTCATTAAGATAATTGAAAATACAAGAAAAATAATAGAGTTTTCTTATAAATTTTTCAGTTGAATTTGTTTTACCGTTCTTCGATTAATAATCATCAACTCGAGTCAGTAATAAGCAAAACAATGAGAAATTGAGGTGATATATTTGTTAATATAATTAATGAAAGGTAGACTTTTGTATTGTTTTACATGAAAGATCTAGTCTTTGTCGAGCTTTTAGATCTATGTAAAATATCTCTTGATATAACGAGAATTGTCAAGTAAAATTTAACTTATTCATGTATCTTACTATCTGAAGAATTTAATTCTTCGTTTTTCACGTAACTTTAATCTTTTGAAAAGCCCTCTGGGTTTAACTCGTACTTGGATATGGTAGAAAGTCAATCTTCCCAGAGAATATCTTAGATTATGATTTAATTATTAGACAATCCTCAATGTAACTGACATATCAAAAAATCTTTAGTAGATTATAAATTTTCATTATATTAAATTTTTCTTCTATAATTCTTAATGATTTAACTTCTTGATAGTTTCGTTACGTTCAAGATCACCTTAGAGCAAATGGACATGAATTAGCAAATTTAATATACAATCGAAATGCAATTATATACGTATGTGGTGATATTAAAACAATGGCTCGTGATGTTCGAGAAACAATAGCTCATATACTAAAAGTACATTCTGGTTTGTATTAATCCTTTTCGCACTAAAAAAAATGTTAATTTAGTTTTTTTTTTGTTTAGACATAACAAATATTGATGAATACATGAAATCATTGGAGACATCTCGACGTTATCTCCTCGATATTTGGAGTTAATAATAATTTTTAATTATGCTTCAATTTCCTTTTCTTTTTTCGAATATACGTTGTTATGACCTTTTCTTATATGCAAACAAAATCTGTTGGTATTTGCAAGAAATAAAAAAAGAAATACAGGAAAAGACGGAAGGTACATTGACCATGAACTAGATGATAGATATAAGAAGGATATATATTTAAATTTGAGCAATGTGCAAAGAGATTATGACGAATAAATCTGTCTCTTATATAAAGACATTCAAGGTGAAGAAAACAGTTGAAAAAAAAAACATTTCTTATTTTTAATATCAAATTTATATGTCACCTTGTGATTCATGTATTTAGCATTGATAAGAACACATCTTCAATTTAACATTGTACATTGTATAATTATTTATAAAACAAGTATATGCACATGTACAATGAGGAAAGAAGAATAGTGATGATGGTTTAATGTTGAAGGGTGTTTAAAACAAGGCGACATTTGTCGTGCACAAAAAAAAAGAGAGACAAAAGAGCGTCCATTGAAATGTCGATCTACCTACATTCTCTTGCGGGGAATGAATTTAAATAGTGAACACAATCCTCACAAAAAAATGTTATCGTCTCATTCTTAGTCGTTTTAACAATTGATAAGTATCACAATATAATTAATTCGCTATCCCCGGTGTTGGATCACTTTAAAAAATAAGCACATTATTTATATATATATATATACATATATATACATTATAAAATATAAAATGAAAGTCGAATCTACTCGACTTTTAATTGTTCTTGTTTGTCTTATAATAAGAATTACAAATACGAATGGATTATCAAAACGTAAGTTTGAATTTTTTTTTCTTGTAGTTCAATACAATATATTCATTCATAAATAAAAGGACAACAATGTCGTGATTTTGCTGGCGATCGTTCAAATTGTCAACGATTTATTCGTTGTTTTCATAATTTAAGAGTTGTATTCACATGTGCATCTGGTACAGCGTATGTACCTGAATTACAAACATGCGTTGCTAAAGAATTAGTAACTGATTGTAATGATTCAGTGAATCGAGTTGGCAAGTTTTACTTTAATTATTTCAATTTGATAATAAAATTAAAAAAACCCTAAATCAAATTTATTTCATTTAATAGAAGTAACAATGAGTTCAAATGATACATTAGATGACAATGATGATTATCCAACAATTGAAGCTGATTTAGATGCACTTGAAGCACCTATGCAAAAATCTCTCTCATCATATGTTGGTATTTCTATTACATCAAGACGATTTGGTTGTTCATCATACTGTTACAATGATGGAATATGTGTTCTTGTTGGACAATCAATTACTTGCCGTTGTCAACCTGGTTATATCGGCGCTCGATGTCAAGTAGCACGTAAGATTTGAAACCACAAAAAAAAATCTGTTTGAATAGCATATTTTTAAAAAGAATCAGCTATCAACAGCAGGCAACCTGATTGTACTAGCGACCCATGTGTCAACGGAATGTGTACAGATATAATTATTCCCGGCGGCACTACCTTTGAATGCACTTGTTCTGTGGGCTGGACTGGACCTTTGTGTGACACGCCAGGTAATATCAATATCCAAATATAGAACACGACATGATGCATAGATTTTTCTAAAACATTTAGGCACCACCCCTCCCATCACTCCCATCACTCCCATCACTCCCATCACTCCCATCACTCCCACCATCCCACCAACAACAACAACTGGTATCATTACTGGTTTACCATGTCCATCAAGTTATACTTATTGTCAAAATGGAGCAAATTGTATCCTCCTACCTGGTAACGGTTTCAGGTGTACCTGTACCCCAGACTTTACAGGCCTCTTGTGTGAACAATCAGGTAGTTCATCATGAGAAATAACTTGGAATTATTTCTCTATATTGTTCGTTGTTTCTTTTCTATTGATCAGTATCTGGTGTAAATCCTGGAGTTATAAACTGTAATCCGGCTGGAAGTCTTTGTCAAACAAATACAGGTAATCAACATTGAATTTAGATTATTTAGTTTTCATCATTATTATCGATGATAATTATACTTAATTTAAAACAAATTTATCTTACGATATATTTTTTTTTTCTTTTTATATGTCAAGCTCTTGCATTAGGAAATCAATGTCTACCAAATCCTTGGTAAGAAATAATATATTGAATTATTGTTAACATCAATATGAATTTTTCTTACAGTCAAAATGGTGGTAGCTGTTATCTTACTCAAACTGCTTTTGCTTGTGTATGTCCAACTCAGTTTAGTGGAACACGTTGTGAAATAAATTTAGCTGCTGTCAATCCATGTTATAATCAACCATGTCGAAACGATGCCACATGTCAAGTAGTTGCACCTTTTACATATCGATGTATATGTCTTATTGGTTTTATTGGTGTTAATTGTGATCAACGTGCATGTGATCCAAATCCATGTTTATATGGCGGTAGATGTTTACCATATGGAAATACTTTTCAATGTCAATGTCCACCACAATATACAGGACGTTGTTGTGAACTTTTATTTGTAACTACAGCAGCACCGAATCCTTGTAGTTCTCAGCCATGTCTTAACGGAGGTACTTGTTCACCAACAAGTGCTACAGGTAGATTGTAAAAATATTATAGCTTTACTTTTACATATGTTCATTTTATTTTTTTTAAGCATTTATTTGTACATGTTCACCAAGTTATTATGGTCGTTGTTGTGAATTACGTAATTATTGTCAACCAAATCCATGGTAATATTAAAATTTTAAATATAAAAAAAAAAACCTTAATCATTTTATTGTTAGTTATAATGGTGGTACATGTATTGCTACAACAAATGCTTATCTATGTCAATGTATATATCCTTATACGGGTAGTAATTGTGAAATAACTATAGCAGCTCAAGCTCCTCAACTTACTTGTGCTTGTATAATTTGTCCATGTCCAACAGCAACTGCTGTAACACATAATCCATGTTTGTATTTAATTTAATGTTATAATTCATTATTATAATAGTTTATTTTCTTTCTTGGTTAAGGTGTTCCAAATCCATGTCAAAATAATGGTGGCTGCAATGCTGTTCAAAATACAGCTCAATGTTTTTGTCAAGCAGCTTTTACTGGTTATTATTGTGAATATCGTGAGTTATATATTTTTGTTAGTTTTTTTTTTCTTATGTTATAATCATTATAAATATATTAGAACGTAAACGATCATTAAGTAATGTAGCTTGTGCAAACATAACATGTTTAAATCATGGAAAATGTTATGTTAATGAAACTGAACCTCAATGTGCATGTCCTAAACCATATTTTGGTGAACGTTGTGAATCAAGTAAATGAATTATTCATATATCTTTGTTTTTTTTTATGAAATATGTTTGTTTGTGTTTTTTTTTTCGAAAAATTTAGTTAATCGACCTCGTACATGTAATCCAAATCCATGTAGTCATAATGGTCAATGTATATCAACAAAAGACGGTTATAAATGTATTTGTAAAAATGATCGAACTGGTATACTTTGTGAACAAATGATAATGCCAAAAAATCATCGTTGGTGTCCATTGGATTGTCGATCAGGTACAACATGTGTTTATGAAGGTAGTACACCAGTATGTCGTGTATTGTAAGTATTATATGTATATATTTTTTATACATGAATTCAATGAAAGTTTTTTTTTTAATTTTTAGAAACACTTATTAATTGTTATTTGATCGAAGATTACACAAGTTTTGTCTGTTATTTATTTATTTGTTTGTTTGTTTTATATATATATGATGTAGAATTAGAGTTTTTATTGTTTTGTTAAATTATCTTTTTATACAATAATCGAGACATATTTAAATGTAGCAAGTAGAGTTTGTTTAGATATATATTTGTTTGGCTCTCTAATATTATATATATATATATATATATGTTTTTTTTTCTTTGTTTTCTGCTATATGTCAATCTTTTACCGCATGAAGTATTTTTAAATATACTTGTATAGAAATTTAACAAATGGGAAAAATGAATAATAGAAAATGAATAATAATATTATAGTTTGATCACATTTTGTTATAAGATTAGATGCTACACTAGAATCTTGTTGTTGAGATGTAAAAAGTAGAAATAGTAACAGATGTTATTTTAGTAATATTCCTAGCAATTTCAGATGGTGTTGAAATTATAGTTATTAATGATGATCTAGCGATATTAGGTTTTGTTGGAAATTTTGTAGTAATATTACTAATATTCGTTGATGATGGTGAAACAGTAATTATGACTTCTGTCATAATATTAGTAGTACTATTATTATTCATTAGAGATTGAGATGTATAGGGTAACATTGATGAAAAAGTCAAATTTGAGACTTGTCCATCGGATGTAGTACCGATTGTTGATTGACCGTTGATATTGTAAAAAACTATAAAAATCAATTTTTATAGAACTGATTTCCATTAAAAAAAATAACTATTTACTAATAAGTATAAGTAAAGCTCGCCCTAATATTTGGATCATTTTATGCTAATAGTTTACAAACATAGAATACTAGTTCTTTTATAGTTCTTAGATAGTTTCAAAGAATCCGTTTCTGATTTATATACGATATTGACTCAACGATTAATTAAAATACAATCTTCTATTTTTCAATACATATAACGAATCATGTTTTTCTCGTTAGTTTGACTCATTACAAAGAAAAAAATGAAATATAAAGTGGTAACTTTTGATTTCGATCCATGACATACGAATGTAAAAAGAATTACACAATGAAAAAAAATTATGATAAATACAACAAACAAAAAGTACACATATATTAAACACAGAAAGAAACTCATATAGAAGTATATAAAATTAATCGTATTAAAGAAATATTATTGAGTCATATCGAATAATGACTATTTGGTTATTTTCAAGAACGAAAATTTGTTCGATTGAAGAAAAATATTAAAAATATATATTCAATGGGCAAAATTTCCATTGTATCATATGATAGTATATGTTGGAGGTAAAATTAGAATTCGACTAGAAATAAGTTTATACAATAGAAATAATAAATAAAATATGAATAGAATCACTATATTTTATTCAAGAATATCCTTTCTGTTTTCAAAAATACTTTACAAGTCAATACCCTTTAGTCTATCAACTCATTGTTGTAGAACCAACTCGCTTTGAATGACATTTTATAGAATAACAAAACTTCCATTTTTTTTTTAAATGAACCAGAAACTCAAAACGAAAACGAACCCAAATTAATCTTCAAAAAGATAATCGAACACAGAAAACCCTAAAGGAGATATAATTGATAGAATTATTATTCAAGATTTTGTAGAACTATAATTTAGTAACCTACACAAGTACGATTTTTGCACCCAAGTCACATGTTTTTAATAGTCGGACTGGAATAGGTGTATTCGGGTATCTGACCAGATCTAGACTGGAGCTAATTGATACTAGACAGATACTTTCATAATCATAGTACAGTTTTCAAATTTTTTCTTTTTAATAAAAAAAAGTATGCTGTATAGTTTCTTGTATAAACAGCAACAAAACAAGAGATTATTTAATGACAAATGAATCAAATATCTCAAGATTACCTTAGTATCTATCTACTTCTGAACTTCGATTAAGTTCCTAGATATACGTTAGCTTATTGATATACATGTTTACCTTTTTGATGGTTCATTTTCTTCTCCATTTATTCTATTAGTTCTTCATATAGTCAGCCATTATCTGTAGATGAATTTTCATTAAAAAGGAACTCTTTTAGTAGAACAATATCACTTTCCATTTCTGTGAACTGTTCTCAAGTACCATAAATTGCACAATCATGATCAAACCAGTTTTCATTTCTATGCTTTGGTATAAATTAGCAGTTCGAAAAGAAAATTTCGAAACATCGAGATTTCATATCCTGTCGAGTACCAGACCTAGTTGCAAGACACTAGTGTAGTGCAGTTAATAGAAATACAATGAGCTTTAATAGAATGTTTGACATTATTAATCTATCTTCTATATAGCGTAGGCTTTTTCTCTTTATGAGAGGCAGACTAAGTGTGTTTATGACGATAGATCACTTTTATGCAGAATAATTCATTTTTCTTTTTCTTTTAAATTTTTTCATTTTTCTGTATTTCAATGGATAATCGTCTGTAACTGTATAAGATTATGCACTAACACCAAAAGAATCTGCTAATCCTTGGACAGCAATGTTAAAAACTTTATTTTAATCTGCAAGTGAATTAAATAATATAAATCTACACCGATATCAACTCTAATGTTACATCGTAATCGTCTGAATATGAAGTTTTAACCTTTCATCTACTCCTAATTAAAGAGAACTAGGCCGATTCAATTCGATCTCTAAAATGAGCATTGTTTTAGGGACATTTTTCTTTAATTAGATTGCAACGCATACATCTATATTTATATTGTTTATCAATATAACCGTTATCACTAAAATTTTCATTTTTTATTCATTCCACTCTACTTTTAGTAAAATACATGACTGTATGAATTAATCTCTAGTTGAATCCTAATTTTGTCTGACCAACATTAGAATTTCAATTTGATCATCAACATATACGTGCAAAAATTTTCAATGAATATAATTATTTATCAAAAACATTCCTTTTGTTTTTACATTATACTTCAAATAAAATTCACCTGAAAAAAAAAATATCCGTTACTAAGACTTTTTGATTAATCATTTAGAAATTCATTTTAAATCATGCACGAATGTATATGTATTATTATATATCGACACGTTGCAAATAATTCATTTAAAGACTTTCTTCATCTTCAGTAGATTTAATTAATTCGACAAATAATTTATTGAACAGCTATCGGAAGAATTTTTTCTATTAATGAATATGTATTAAATTTTATCTTTGTATTATAAACATATTCCATAAGGAATTTCTTCTTTTTTTTTTTTGTATATAAAATTCGAAGATGAATTGGTTTCTATTGTTCAAATAATCTCTTGTGATCAATGTTGAGCAATTTTGACGTAAAAAACAATAAAAATGAATTTTTCAGTAATAGTAATGATTCAACATCAACGAAATGCTCATTATTCAATAAGTTATCTAAGTTTTCTTTTGAATAAGTTTCACGAAACAAAAAAAAAGAAGAATATCACAATGACATTCCTATTAACAATTAGCACAACTAGTTAAACAGTTTGGCTCAGCAGGACTCTAGCACACATATGTTGTGATAAATCACGCATCTTTGTTAATGAAGTGATAAAAATCTACTCTATAGGTTATACAATTATACGTGGGTGTTTGTTATCTTTACTCACCTAAATTTACTCTTCGTATTTATTATCTAAACAAATATACGTCTAACGAATATTCATCTATACTTATATACAAAAGTTTATCTATTCCAAATAAACTGAAAATATAACATCTAAATATGCTTTTTCTGTTCCTATGATTATTTTATTGTCATAATCGAGCGTCCTTGTCAAGTCTATATATATAACATAAAAACTTTATTTTTGTTGATATGATTCTGATAATCAAATTATTGCCATCGAATGTATCAATAATTCAAAGCGAAGACTAATGAAGTTGATTTCATTATGTTTTTTTTTCGATTGTAGATGATGAAATTTCCGTTTCTTTCATCCTATGTCTTTACATCGGGTACTGTTTTTGACATTTCTTTTTTATTTTTATGTCAGAATAATAAATTTGATAGTGCACGTTCATTCAATATTTATTAATTATGTTAAAAGAAATATCGGTAATATTAAACATATTCGAAGTAGATGAATAATTTATTCAATCATTAGAATTAAATTATCACATAACTCTCATACTGACAAATGTTAGTCGTTTTATAAAAGAAAAATAATAACAAAAAACAGATTTTATGTATTGAAGTTATTCTATTGTCTTTAATTAAAGTCGAAAACTAAAATTTTCTTGAAATTTATTAGATTTATTCAAAGAGACAAATCACAATCGATTTATAATAGTTTTTGACATTATTTTTCTATCTTTCACTATAAATTTCTTTCTACAATTTTCATCATAGACATGTCATAATAACAATTTGATTGAAAAAGAGCACAAGATAATGAAATATTCGAGGTTTTTTTTGAAATACGGTCGAATAGAGAAAGAATATAGGAAATTCTCGATAATGGTTTTTTTCTGCATGATGAACAATGATGAAGACGAGAAACAGTCTATCTTTTTTTTTCTTCACTTCATCGAGATGTCTCTGTTCTTTTAAAACGTATACCGATGTCGATAAGTCAACCGGAAATATGGTGACGTTAACGCTCAGAAAGTCAAATCGACGAACTGCAAGTTTTTTCAATCATTTTTCAAGCAAAGACTAATGGAACGGAATGAGTAATCTTTTACAATCGCAATTGTGAATTGGTCGCAATGCTCATATTCATTATTTTTCCGTTCATTTTTTTGTCATTGGACTTCAATCATCATAAAACATACGTACTGACTACAAATATCATTAATAAAAATAAATGTGTCTCTCACATTAAGCACACTAGACTAAAAAATTGTTATTTGAAGCATAAATATAGTTTTTTTTTTTTTTGCTCTATGCCTTTATGACTATTTGACATTTAAACAATGCATGACCATGAATCGTATAATCCAAAAGAATAAAGAGCGAATACAAGTAAGAATGATGGAACTAGTCTATTCTATACGGCTAACATTGACATGGGACTCATCCAAAAAAGAAAATCAAAAGAAAGAAAGAAAAAGGAGGAGAAATAAGAAGACGACCGACAATAGCGACGGCAACATCATCGGATAAGAAGCAGAATAGAGTAAAACAGAACGCGGAATAGAACAACCAACGTAATTAGTACTGTCGTTACGCGCCCAGGAAAAACACACAGACACACATGCATCAAGGCAGCTATAGTTCTATGAAAGATGCGCAAGCTGGATGATGATGATGATGATGAGAGACTATCTCATATGCTTGTATTGATTCGCCGTCGTTTCTCTGTGTAGCAAAGACGGCGCGATGACTGCTGTAACCGTTCGACAATACTTCTTGTTTATCAGAACGCTGCAACGTTGGCACTTCTTCTTTCTCTTGGTGAATTCTACTGGCTACAAAAGAGCAATAATATTAACAACAAAAGCAACACCACAGCAAGAGGAAATAGAAAGAAATAGACATATAGTTATTACATCTTTTGGGTAAGTATATATGTATTTACTTATATGTAATTAGAAATTTTAGAATAAACTATCCTTTTTTTTGCTTTTTGATGTGTATAAAAGACAACCTGAGGAGATATTAATTAAACAAATTTAAAATAGAGATAATCTATTTGAGTACACTTGAAGGAATCCATTCATTAGTTGAATGCTAATCTAGGGTAAGTTCTCATCTTGTTACAGAAAAATAAGAGCAATGTTATGTGTTTGAGACATGAACACACAACAACAGGCGATTTTTTTTTGTTTCTATAAAAAGCAATTGTGAATATTAATAAATGCATTAATATA